CATCACTACACCCAGATTTCTTGCCTAGTCTGTGGTTTTAAGTCTTACTGACTGAAGCTGCGTGCTGACTCGCTCCTCCTTTTTTGCACATCCACTCATTGATTTGTTCTGTGCATTTACCCAGTGCTTTTATGGGACCATGGTTGCCTGGCGACATTGTAATATATTTTTGTGTGTTAAACCAAAACAAACTGCTGTTTGGAGACACCTCCGCTATTCTAAAGCCTCCACTCTCCTACAGCGACACACCTCCAACCCCTTTCCACTCGCGTTCACACTAAGGAGTTAAGAATTAGAACGCACCATAACTAAGCACCTTGAAGCGCAAGCAGCAGACAAAAACAACAAATAAATTGACACAAAATGTTCTTCTTTTCTCTAGTCCTTGACTAAAACAACTTTCGTCCCATCCATGAAAACACGATGTAAACACGGCTCTGACAACAACACAGCCAGCGGAACTCGATCAAGACCTCCAACTGCATTATCTAATTATGTTTGATCGACTTCGAGAAATCCGACGTAGCACTAATTCAGTTAATCACAACATGTTTACATGAATTTTGAAAGTAAATTTTAGTCAGACAAAAAGAAGGAATCAAGCCTTTTAACTTCATGTTAACGTAATGATCGTTTCATGTCAGTGGCTGTGTAGAGGTGGGCTATATGGGAAAAATATCATATCACAATTTTTTTTTTGGCAAAATCACTATCATGATTTTATCACAATTTTTTTCATACTGATGTTAAGACTAATTTGTAAGTTACTGACCAGTTCAACCAAACCTTATTTCCCTGAATAATGTTTTTAAATGCACAAAAACTGTGCTGACAAGTTTAATCTATTTGAAAAAAATCTTTGTAGGAGGTCTGGAGGTCTCTCACCCAGAACATTTTTAGCATCAGAAATGTCTTTCCCTCAATTTGATCAATATTTATGAACAATTTGAAGGCTTTCCTCACTACTTTGAAATTAGGAGATAGCTATGTGTCCTCTTCTTGTGTTCATCAGGAACATTTTCACTCAGTGATGCATTCATTTAAAAACATGTAGACTTTGAATTCTTGTGTTTCTGTTCTATTTTAGCCCTGCAGAGTTCCTACAGCTGAAGCTTCATACGGGCTCTGCAGCATTTGTTTTTTTTATGACATCATTGGAGTAATAATAATATATAATCAAACATAATACAGAATGTTTTAATTCTGTGACACATGATCAAAGTAAGTTTTACTGACAGAAGAGTTGAAAAAGTTCATATTATGCCCTTTTTGGGGTTCGTATATTTAATCTATTTACCTACTAAAGTATGTTCACAATCGCTAAAGTTCTAAAAAAGTGTCTGTTTTCATGTTCTGTCGCTCCATGCACCGGCTCGCTTCTGACTCTCTCTCTAAGGCTCTGAAGTGCCCACGTTCAGAGTCCCCACGTGTGCCAAGTCTGATCTGATTGGTCGGCCTGTCGGCTCTGCCGTAATTGGTCAGTCGCTCAGCCACTCTGGCTCTGAGGGGCAGGGAGCAAAAACATTAGCACCTTAGCACTACTGTGCTACCGCAGGCTACGGCATATCGTGGGCGTGCCACAGAAGTTAACGGGCACACAACATGAGCTGCTGGGCTTGCCACAACGAGCCAATGGGCTTAGATCAGTGATATCACACTGACAAGACGTCACACTGGCATTTTTTTTCCAGGGGGGCTAGAACCGAGCATTACATGCAGCTAATGCTACATCTAACAGGAGGACGTAGGAGAAGCCGCGTTTCTGCGGACTTTGAATTTTTGCAAATAGATGTGCCTAAACATGCACAGGACACTTGGAAAACACACTAAAGAGCATATAAAACCAGAAAAAGCATAATATGGGCCCTTTAATTCAGGGGGCGGGACATTGTTGCTTGACAGACAGACAGTCACCATGGTTACTCACTCTCACCTGCCTGCTGCACACAACGTGTAATGTCGTTTAGCCTAATCCCTATAAATTCGATAATCACAACAGGTGAGCTCGGGTGGAGAGGCTTGATAGTAACTTTTAAAAAACAGAAAACACCGACAGCAACATTTTAAACACATACTGAATACTGAAATCCTCTCATACAACATACTGAAATCCTTTCATATAACATACTGAAATCTGTAAATGCTTTTCAATAGCATTTTCAGTTGTGTATATGAGCACAGTCTACTAGTACATGTGAATGCTTTTCATGAGAGCTTTTGAGTTATGTATGTGAACGTATAATTTTTCAGTTTTTTGTGTGAGAGTGTTTCATTTGTGTATGTAAAAGCATTTCACTTTGTGTTTGTGTGTGTGTGGGTGTGTGTGTGGTTTCAGTATAATATGTGAATGAGTTTGCTTTCATGTGTGTATGTGAGAGGAAAAGTACATGTATATGCCTGGCAATTCTGAATAAAGTTCCTCATGGACCCTCATATCAATCTGTCTTCTTGCTCTGTCCCTTTACAAAAAATAAAAGATTTAAAAATGTATACAAGTAGGAAAACAAGAGATTCTCAGTAATGTTAAAAAAAAGGAATAACAGAACAGAAAACCTTGAATATTACACAACATTGATATAGAGATTTTGATAAAAGGCAACAGAGGGACCGGATCCAGTCACATAGGTTCTGGTCTGAGTTTGGGAAGGGTCAGAGCCTGTTCTGGCAGGCTGAAACCGAGGACGAGAATATGTTTACTGACGAGCTAATGTATATCATTTACATGATGTTTTTATCACAGCAGCACATTACAGCAACAGTCCGGCAGCTTTCAGTAGCAGCTCACGCTTACTTATGCAGCGGGCTTTGACGTAACATCTGGTGTTTCCTTGGCAACGATAAACATTTTGTGTCTGTCATGGCGGGTTTATCATGGTGGCCGCCAAGACACGTCCCGTTACAATTATAAAAATTATACTGATTTCTCTGGCTTTGATAACTCTTGGAAATATTTGAGGTAATGTAAGTACGCAACAACAAAAAAATATAAAACATGGTTTTAGTCAATTTAAAAAAAAGATAATTTAGATATTTTAATGTAAGGGTGCAGGAGGAGTTTATCCAGTTTCCTTCTCTCTGCCACCATCAGAGAGCCAGCCTTCTCCACCAGTCTGACGCTCCAGATAGGGGTCTGAAAACAGTCTCTCAGAGTCTCAGGAGACCAAGTCCTGAGGGGTTTTGAAGTTATGGTTATCTCTGGATCTGTGGCTCGTAATGTGGCTTTAGCAGCATGAGGTTGTGTTCAGACTTCACCAGTGGGGGAGGAGGAATGGCAGCGTAAGCGTCCTTCATGGACTTGCATTCAGGAGGTCTATTGTCCTGTTCTTCCTGATATGGCATCTTATAAACTGATAAAAGTCTGGTAGTGTTGAGTCCCGGTGTTAGATGATTAAAGTCTCCAGAGATGGTGATGAATGCTTTATGGTGTTTGCATACACCCGGAAAAAAACCGAGTAAGAGCACCCTTAAATAAACAGCTTTTTCTGTGCAATGTTGAAGACAAGCAGAAAGTGTATCCATAGGATAAAGTTCTACACTGTGAGTGTACTACACAAAGGCAAAGGTAAAAAAAAAATAGCAATTAACTTTTTAAACTGAACACGACACAGACGGAGCTACTGGAGGAGCGGCACCGTAGTCTTGGTCGTTGTGTGTATTTGTGCTACACCACTGGGTTGGTATGGTAACAGACTTAAACATAAAGCAACCAATGCACTCTGATCCAGAATCACATTCTCACACACCTCAATAACCCTCATAACCAACCTGCATTGTCCCTGCACACATAAAGATCAGTCAGAGGTAGTCAGGTCAGAGGGCTTAGAGGTTGTTGCCCATAGTTACAATGAAATAGATTATCTGTGGGTTATAAGAAGAGTACACCAACACACACACGCAAAAAAGTACGAGCCAGATGGTAACAGGATATGGGACCCAAAAGTCTCTGTAATGGTGTTGTCTTAAGTGATTCAAGATTAACACTTAATTCTTAAGTATCTGTGCACTGTGGCAGAATAGCCACTGTTTTGTGTGAATAAATATGTGACACATATCCGGTATATAAGGGGTATTACCACTACTGTCTGCAATGCTGATGAAGTGATGAAAAGCGTCTGTTGTTGTGTTGCTTTTCTTACCCGGATACAGGAAACTCAACATCACACTGCAACTTGAGCTAGAAAACCAGTCTGCTAAACCAGCAGAATGAGGAACAGCAGCTAATGCGATTGCATTTTCATTTCCCTCATTCAAACATGGGATTAGTTTACACATTTCAACAATATTTGGCTTAAATCTTCTCCAGGATTGATGTGCAACAGTGTTCTTCTTAGCAGTTGCCTTTTTCCTCCTGTGGTTTCGAGTGCGTAAGTACCCACTGTCACTAGCTGCACGAAGACTAGGTGTGGTAGTTAGTCAGTTTTGGGGTAGAAGAAGATTTACTTTATTGATCCCAGCAAGGGGAAATTCTATTTTTACACTCTGTAAGTCATGCAACACACACATAGGCTGAAATATACACATTCACAAACAGGATCCTATGGACATGCACTAATGGAGTGTGAGGGGGCTGCCCACAGTGGGCGCTCCTGAGCTGGTGGTGGGGAGGGGCTTTGGTGCCTTGCTCAAGGGCGCCTCGGCAGTGCTCAGGAAGTGATCTGGCACCTCTCCAGCTACCAGACCAATTTCCAGATTTGGCCCGCACCGGGGACTTGTTTCTAGTTTTGTTCACTCTCCCTCTGAGGAGCTTTTGAATAGTTTAGGCTACTTTACCGAAAATAATGTTTTCCCAGTAATGAAGGACGGTGTACTGCAGGTGAGTCTGTTGTTTCTCCTTCGGTTTCCTTGACATTTGAGCAGCAAAAGGAGCTGTTGCTGTTGCAAATGGAGAGACATAACAGCAGTTAAGCCAGTGATTTAGTAATACAAAATAAATGAACTATTCTCAACATTTGTCCTAGCTTTTCTGTGCCAAAAATGTTGAACTAATCTGGTGTCTTTAGGTAAGATGACTTCTCAAAGTGCGAAGACGTTGCTCACACTGGATGCTGAAGCAGTCGCCTCACTCAAAGAGGGAATCAATTTCAAGAAAAGCCAAGAGGACGGGAAATGTTACATCATATACAAGAACAACGACGGCCTTAGAGCATGCAAGAACCAATGCAAACACCAAGGAGGGTTATTCATCAAAGACATCGAAGACCTGGATGGCAGGTGAGATCTAAAGGGCCGGCTGTTGTTAGGGGTCGGAGCTTTTATCATCAAGAGCTGCCTGCTGATAGCTGACCAAAGGCTAAGTGATGAAGATTGCTACAGTCAGAAACATTTTATTTGTTAGGTAGTTGTATGAAAAGCCTAAAAAAAAGCATAGACGTCAAAATAACAGTAGATAACCTAGATAACAGTAACAAAAATCTTTTAATGGGCTTTTTTGTTTTCTGCTCTCACAGGACTGTTAAATGCACCAAACACAACTGGAAGTTGAATGTGTCATCAATGAAATATGTAAATCCACCAGACAGTTTCTTTCAGGACGAGCTTGGTGAGTTCTGCAATTATAGCATTTTTTTTACTTTTCTTAAAGGTCCCATATTATGCTTTTTCTGGTTTTATATGCTCTTTAGTGTGTTTTCCAAGTGTCCTGTGCATGTTTAGGCACATCTATTTGCAAAAATTCAAAGTCTGCGGAAATGCGGCTTCTCCTACGTCCTCCTGTTAGCTGTAGCATTTGCTGCATGTAACGCTCGGTTCTAGCCCCCTTCGAAAAAAAAATTGCCAGTGTGACGTCTTGTCAGTGTGATATCACTGATCTAAGCCCATTGGCTCGTTGTGGCAAGCCCAGCAGCTCATGTTGTATGCCCGTTAACTTCTGTGGCACGCCCACGATATGCCGTAGCCTGCGGTAGCACAGTAGTGCTAAGGTGCTAATGTTTTTGCTCCCCGGCCCTCGGAGCCAGAGTGGCTGAGCGACTGACCAATTACGGCAGAGCCGACAGGCCGACCAATCAGATCAGACTTGGCACACGTGGGGACTCTGAACGTGGGCACTTCAGAGCCTTAGAGAGAGAGAGAGTCAGAAGCGAGCCGGTGCATGGAGCGACAGAACATGAAAACAAACACTTTTTTAGAACTTTAGCGATTGTGAACATACTTTAGTAGGTAAATAGGTTAAATATACGAACCCCAAAAAGGGCATAATATGGGCTCTTTAAAGGTTATGAGGCGTGTGAAAGAACAACTGCTTTTGAAGCTTTGAAGAAAACATTTTTTGTATAACAAGCGAAGCCAAGGAAGTGCATTTGCTGCATGGTGATTAAGAATAATTGTATACACAAGTGTAGCGTATCTACTTTTAATATTTAATATATATAACCCGGGGCACCATCTTTGTTAAGTAAGGAAACTAATATTACTTACAGTAATTAATGAATCTATAAATCTGTCTCATATCATTGGGATGAATTCTCAAGCACTAAAACCATAAAATTACACAGACAAAGTACTGAAAGTTTATATGAAAGTTTAATAAAGAAAAATGATGAACATAAGAGGTTAAAGGAAATGCATAGGTAATATCAATATAATTACGACAGTGATATAACTTGAATAATAATATTGAGTTGTTTTAAGTTGCCATGGTGAGATCCTTATGTCAATTTTGGAGTTTAAAACTATATTGTTTGAGGGATTTAACAAAGTGGGATTTTGAGAAAGAAAATAAAAAGGGAACTTGATAAATTTGATGAAAGTTGACTCTGAGGCTTTGATGCGAATACCACAAGCTTGACTCAACACCCCAATCTCATAATCAGAACGCTTCCTTACTGAGACGTAGTGTTCAATTGAACTCCGCCGAATGGTGCCAAGACTTCCCGTCGAGTTCTTTCGGATCAGGAATGCCGGTGGCCCACGATAACCGCCGAAGCAGGTCTGGTCGGAGTCGACAATGAGATGGGTTTGAAGAAAAACACAGCGGTCCAAGCAGTTGTCCGTGGGTCCGTCTCTCAGCGGCTCAAACGAGTCTTAATTAACGTTCGTCAGGATTGACGCTCATTGATCCTCACTTGACTTGAATGGTCACTTGTAGTCAAGTGTGAGGATTAGAAAAATTACTGTTCTGGAAGACGAATGATCAATACTTCAAAAAGGAGAAAAAGATAGCAGCGCTCAATCTTAGGCTGTAGGAAAAAGCCTTAGAATGCGTGCATGAAGAATCAGGGTTGGTTTAAGTTGGATTCAAGTTCTGCAGGTCCTGCAAAT